GTACCTACAAGATGAAATTTAGATCAAGAATTTGACTTTATAGAGCAAACCTGTAAGACATAAGAGAAGCTGTGAGTCCTATGAAATCCATTAATTCTTTCATAGGGTAGGTGATCATCAGTTGTGGTGCTTACCTTCCTGTGTGTTTTCAAAATTAACTCAGTTGCAAGTTGGGCTTAACAGTTTCATGGTTCAACTTATGTCCATGAGGCTCCATATGAATTTCATCAATATTTGTTCTGTTTCTTTGAAGAATGTCATTGAGATATTTATCAGGGTTGCGTTGAATCTGTAAATTGCTTTCAATTTAGAATGACCCTTTTAAATAAAAATGGAGCTACCATATGACCCACTAGTTCCACTCCTAGAAATCTACCCAAAGAACACAAAAACATTAATTCAAAAGGATACCTGTACCCTGACGTTTATTACAACACTGTTTACAATAGGTGAGATATGGAAACAACCCAAATGCCCAAAAATAGATGACTGAATCAAGAGGATGTGGTATGTACACAGTGAAATACTACTCAGCAGTCAAAAAAGATAAACTCATGTCATATGCAGCAACATGGATGGAACTGGAAGAGACTATGATCAGTGAAATAAGCCAGAAGGAAAAAGAAAAATACCGGATGGTTTCACTTATAAGAGGAATATAGGGGAACCAAATAAGGGATCAGGAAAATAATTATTATAAAAAATTTTAAAAATTACAGGCAACTATAAATCAGAAACATTCTGCAGGGGAGGGAGAGAGATCAAAACTGGGAAGCGAAGAGCACAAGGGACTGTTGTGATGGTGCATGGGTGAATTGGTGGTGGGAGTTTTACTGGGACTACACCTGAGAGGAGAAAGCATACATTGTACAAAAATGAACAATGATAAAATATATTTAAGTAAATAAAAATATGTCCATGAATACTCTTTCAAATACACATTTAGTCACCATTAAAGAATTGTCTTTATATATATGAGTTACTAGTCAATGATTTCTTTTCACTGTCTTATTTAGCTGTTGCATGTTAAGAGGCATCAAGGCTGTTAGGTTTTATTTCTCCATTGCTAAAATCGAGGCTTTTTGAATAGTTTATCCCACTTAAATCAGTCCTCTTCTTAAGTCAGGTCCTTAAAAAGGTGTTTTTTTCCTAATCATTAAGATTACTTCAGCCTTTTGGTGTGCTTGCAAGATGCTTTAGTGTAAAGTAACTTTTTTTTTTAAAGATTTATTTATTTATACAAGCACTGGGTACAGTCAGAAGCGCGGGAGGGTGAGAGAATTCGCCAGAGCAGGCAGAAGGACCAAAGTACACTGCTGAGGGGAGCAGCAGGCGGCAGGAGAGGTCTGCACGCATGCGGTACCCTCCTCCAGTGGCCGGGGAGCAGCCGGGAATCCAACCGGCGCTGCAGAGGCTGCGGGCAGCTTCGCAAGCCAGCACTCAACCACTGCACCACCGGGGAGGCCCTGGTGTAAAGTAACTCTTGACCAGATTGATAAGCTGTCAGTATACAAGAGTGGCAATATTTATTTCTTAGATTATACTCTAGTGTCCCTTGGAGGCAGATCCTAGAGACTATGACCAAAAAAAAAGATAAAGACAAAGGGAGAAGCAGTTTTATTTCGCGAGAAATTTTAGTGGCTGTTGAGAGGTAGAGATGTGGGACAGGGCAAAATTGCTTTAAGGCCAGCTAACCATAGATCGATCCATCACAACGCTTAGGAAGAAAGTAATGGATGAGTACCTGGAGACCTAATGCAATTTCAGTTTCATAATCTATTGAATGGGTTTTTGTTGTTACTATTTTTAACCTTTCATTTTGTGTCACAGATAGGAATTTAAAAAAGAAAAGTACTATATGAATAATTATAGATAAAAAGGAAGTTGCTAAAACTGTGTAGAGAGAGTCCCATTTACCTCACCCAGTTCTACCTAGAAGTTACATCTTACATGAGCACAGTATATTATCAAAGTCAGGAAATGTGTATGTGTTGTGCAGTTGTGTAACATTTATCATATGTTGATTTTTCCAAGCATCTTGGTCAGATACAGAACTATTCCATTACCACCAAGGTCTCTCCCATTTATCGTCACTCCCATCCCACTCCTGGCAACCAATAATCTGTTCTCATTTATAGTTCTGTTTGTTGTCTCAAGAGTAAATATTTTCTGAAGCAAATACTACTATCTTAAGAGGTTAAAGACAAAACGAAGCCCTGCTTGCTCCTTCATGTTTTCCAATTACAAACTTCTTTAGAATGAGGATTCCAATTTTAACCCATTTGCTCCCAAGTAATATGACTACAGATTACTTCATCCTCTCCCTCCTCTCTTCTCTGCCCCTGCCTTTTCAGTCTGCTTCCGACAGTTTTCTTAAAATAGCAAAGCATTTTTACATTAAATCAGTGCTGTTCAAGTACTCCAAGAATTGGGTGACTATTTTAAAACCTTTTGGCATATCTTATTGAAGAATCAGAAAGGCATTAACCTTTTTTATTAATGTAAACAATACAGTTACAACTCACTAATACCTTTATCTGGTATTTATCATAATAAATTATGAAGATAAGATCAAAAGAGTTGGCATAAATGAAGCATTCAGAATAGTGCCTGGCACATAGTAATCTCTGTTAGTGCTAATTATTTTTATTGCTGCTGTTATTAAGACGACATTCTCAGGATAAGAAGGACTTTTTAAGCATAAAATCAGTAGATTAAACCACATGGAAAAGACCTGGTGCATTGGCTACTTTAAACAAAAACAGGCCCAATTGAAATCACATAATGCATATAAAGAATCTTGAGGAGAAAATGTTTACATAGATTTCTCCACTGGTGGGTATATAAGTAATCCATACCCCTCTACCCCCAATTTCTCTCTGTTTAGCAGTTACTTTTGAAGTTATGGAAATTAAAGCAATAATAGATAGAAAAGGAGTTAAAGACCCAGTTTTGATAAGACTTGTCAAACCTGACAGTAGCAGTAGTAGTATTAATGATTCAGTATTTCAAGAGGACAATTTGACAAATATCAAAGTCTCAAAAAGGTTTATATTCCTAGACATAATTTTACTTGTAGGACAGCATTTTTAGAAAATGATAAGAAGTGTCAGAAGAGGTACAGGAATACTCATTATTTATAATTTTGCCTTTCTTACAGGAAAATGGAATCTGCCTCATGTGTAAAGTATTATAATTTGAATTTGATGTGAAATGACTACATTGAGTGGTTTGAAAAATATAGCAGGAATTTGACAGAGACACTTTGATCATAGATACAAATTTTCAAATTATATTAGTTGATTAAAAACAAATTTAGTATTTATGGATTTAATTCTAGGACTTTTGTCCTGAAATAACTGTATAACTAAATAATATATAACTTTTTTATAGTTATGTAATCATGCTATGATTTGGGGGAGTAGTTTATAGCAGTTTTATGTTTTTAATATAGTTATGTCATCTGTGTGTGTGTATAGAAAGAGAGAAAAGAGAAAGGTGCTAATTGAGTACCAAGCAATTTTTTTGTGGTTTTATTTTTCTTTCCTGGTTTCAAATTTGAAAGTTGTAATCTAATTTTAGGTTAAAAAAAGTGAATAATGCAGGTCTTCAGAGCACTCACAAATTACCTCCTGTTGACATAATGGTCATCTCTTCCCTCAGTAATCCCCATCTCAGTTGCTCAAACCAGAAACTTGGAATCTGAGTACTTTTGAATACCTCATTCTTAGCTTGCACTGTGAATCTAATAGTTGACCATGTCCTTCCTACCTCCAATATGTCCTGCTGAATCTATCACTTTTTTCATTATCTGTTGACACCATTCTTGTCAAGGAATATTACCTTTTTCTTGAAGTATTGTAGTATCACTATCTCTGACTCATTCCTTTTTTTTTGTTTGTTTCTATTATATTTTAAAATTGGTTGGAAATATGCATGTCATGCATAAATGTCAATAGCTCTATAAAAGCACAAACAATAGCTTAACACCCTAGCCCATTTGATCCTACCCTTCTAGCCTTCACCCTAGAACCTCACACTCATCCCAACTTTATGACTTTCAGTTTTGAATATGGTTTATTGACTCTGCCATAGAAGATAATTTCATTTTCATTTTTTCTTCCCCTCACATTTGCACAATCACTTCTTCCTTTTTTCCCCATATGGTTTTGACATGAGTGAGTAAGCATGGATCAACTTTTCTTTTCTTTTTTTTTTTTTTTTAAAAGATTTAGATATTTATGCATACAAGAACTGGGGTGTAGGCCAGAGGTGCAGGGGGTGAGAGGATTCACCAGGGAGAGTAGGGAACAAAACAGGCAGATCTACTGAAATACACTGCTGAGGGGAGCATCTGGCAAGAAAGGAGAGGTCTGCTGTGCCATGTGGATAGTGCTGTCTTTAACCCCTGCTCCACCAAGGAGGCCCTGGATCAGCTTTTCTTTACAGTTGTGCCATGATTATTTAATTTTTCATGAGCTAACTTACTTTAGCTTTAGCTTTGTCTGCACTTATCACTAATTTTTTTTCTGCCAGAGGATTGTAATGAGTGTATCTTCTCAATATGTTCAGACACTGTAGCTATTGGTCCATCTGTCCAGGGTGGTTGAACTATCAGAGCAAAGAGTGAGGTTCTGGAAATTTTGATTGGTAACTGAGGGATTGAATGATGTGGCAACTAGTAGGCTTCACTACCTGTTGTGGGGTGCTCAACTTTCATTACCTGTAAATCTCTGCGTTCCAATCTCTTCAGAGAAGAATTTTCAGTCTGTCTATGGAATATGTCTAGTTATCTATAGGTAATTTTGCTTTCTTATATTCCACTAATAAAATTTGCTTTTGTGGCTTAGCTGAATTTTTATAATACTAAATCTATTCCTTTTAAAACAGTTCTGGGAAAGGACACAACTGTCATTTTTTAATGTTTTGAAACCCTTAATATAATAAGAAAACTTAGCTATTTATTGAATTTATATTTATTTTTCACCTTAATTTTCCAGGAACTTTCAAGTTGTGGATGGAATAAAAAAGAAAAATATAGTTCTGCACCAAATGCAGTTGCCTTCACAAGAAGATTTAATCATGTGAGTTGTATATAAAATTTTGATTGGTTCTGAAATTCAGTTCCTCGGTATATAATTTTTCACTAAGAAATACTCTTAACTTTTGGGGGGTCCTCGCTGGTGGTGCAGGGGGTTAAGTCTCAGCGCTATGAAACTCTTGGCAGCAACTCAGCAGGGAGCTGACCCACATGGCACAGCAGACCTCTCCTGTCTGCTCTGCTGCTCCCCTCAGCAGTGCACTTCGGTCAGTCTGCCTGTTCTGTTCCCCACTCTGTCTATGGTGAATCCTCTCACCCCCAGCTCTTGTATGTATAAATAAATAAAATAAATCTATAAAAAAAAAGAAATACTGGGCCTCCCTGGTGGTGCAGTGGTTGAGCGCTGGGTTGAGAAGCTGCTCGCAGCCTCTGCAGTGCAGGTTCCATCCCCGGCTGCTCCCCAGCTGCTGGAGGAGGGTCCCACATGGTGCGCAGACCTCTCCTGCCGCTCTCTGCTCCCCTCAGCAGTGTACTTTGGTTCTTCTGCCTGCTCTGCTCCCCGCTCTGGCTCTGGTGAATTCTCTCACCCTCCTGCGCTTCTGACTGTACCCAGCGCTTGTATAAATAAGTAAATAAATAAATATTAAAAAAAATGTTACTGTGTTGTTTTAAAAAAAAAATACTCTTTTTATATTTATTCTGTAACATTTTAGCCATTATCTCTTCAGATTGACTTGCTGCATGACCTCTATTTTTTTCTCTCTGTAATATCTATTGGAAATTTGTTGGAACTGGAAATTCTTTACTATTGCCTCTTACACTTTAATATTCTATAGTCATTCCTTTGTTTTACATTGCATGATTTCCTCATATCTTTATTTTAGTTCACTAATTCTCTTCAGATGTGACATAGCTGTTTCAAATCTGTGTGCTTTTTCCTTAATTTAAAATTTTATTTTAAATTTTTCACATTTTTTAACATCTTAAGTAATTTTTAACATTCTATTTTATTACCTGAAGTGCTTGGGGCACTAATTCTGTTATTTTTGCTGATCTTTACTCATGTTGTATTTCTGTGGGTCTTGTAATTTTGGATTGAAGCTCATATCTGTTTAAACTTTGTGGGAATTTTTGCTGCTGCCTAGATTGAGGATACACTAAGTCCTCACATAAGTTTGCAAAACAGGGGCCTCCCTGGTGGTGAGGGGATTTAAATCTCAGCTATCAAGCTATTGCCAGCCGTTGCAGCATGAGTTCCATTCCTGGCCTGCAAACTAACCCACATGGGGCAGCAGACCTCTCCTGTCTCGCCCACTGCTCCCCTCAGCAGTGTGTCTCAGTGGATCTGCCTGTTCTCCCCACTCTGTCCCTGGTGAATCTTTTCACCACCACCCCGCCCCCCCCCCCAAAAAAAAACCCTCTGGCCTACCACAGTTCTTCTACACAAAAATAAATAAATCTTAAAAAAAAAAAAAGCAACTTTGCAAGAGAGAACTATGGATATTCCCCAACCAAACATTTAACATTAAAATAGTACTAAATCTGTGATAGCCCTTGGTAATGGCAGAAGCAAACAAAAAATGTTCAGTGTCATTTAATAAAAAAAAAAAAAAATTGATGAGGATAGAAAATTACAGTCCACTCTGAATAAAAGTTTTTGAGGACCTGCTTTTCATACTGTTTTGATAAAGTTACTACTTCCAAGAACCTGTCAATGAAGTTATGTTATGGTATAAAATGACTTAAGCTTTCATTTTCATTGAAGAAATATTAAGTTCCTATGTTCTGGACACTATTCTTGATGTTTGGGATTTATTAGGGAATAAGAAAAACAAAGCACGACCTTCATGGACCTTCACATTTTAGCACTTCCTAATTTTAATTTCTCCCCCCCCCCCCCATTTTTAGAAGTTTTGTCATTTCAAATCTACCTGGTCATTTTTCTTATTCTCTCACTTCTCATTTGAAACTATTATTGGTGAAGCATGGATATAAAAAAACCCGTAAAAATAGCAGATGATTTAATGACTTATTCTCAAGCAAATATCCTTGTAATCATCACTCAGCTTAATTAAAAAATGAAATTTTACCAGCTAACCTAGAAAATCTCTCCTGTGCCTCATTCCAATCAGCACCTTTATTCTTCCAAGGGTGACCATTTTCCTGACTTTTATATAGGTCCTTGAATAATGTTGTTTTGTTCAATGTTGTTTCTTTGTTTGTAAGGGGGGAAAATTGATTTCTTGGTGAGGACCTCTGTGGCGTTAGCACGTTCTTCTCATGTCTGCATGGGTTTCTCCTGGTGCTCTGGTTTCCTAACACACCCCAAAGATGTGCACTGACATATCTCAATTGTCCCAGTCAGAGTGAGTGAGGGTGTATGTGAATGTGCTCTGTAGGAAGTGTGTCCTGTTTAGTAGTGGTCCTACCTAGCTTGCCCCCTGAACTGCCAGGATAGGCTCTGGTCCCTGTGACCCTCAACTGGAATAAGTGAGTTGGAAAATTGCATGCATGCATGGAAGTGGCCATTTAATATTAGAAATATTTTTGATTCATTAGAAGATAAGTGATGTTTTATGACCAGCAGTAAGCCTCAGTAAACTTTGCTGATGCATATTAATTAGCCTGTGGTAATAGTTTTGCTTCAAGTCAGTTTCCAATAACCTATCAATAATGTTTCGTGAGGACTTAACCGTACTCATTTTCTTGTGCTTCTTTCTATAGTTTTATCACCTACATGTGGATCTCTAGACACCTATAGTTTATTTTAGCCTTGCTAATTTTTAAAATTTGTGAAATGTTTTAAGACTTTAATTTACAATTTCTCCCTTCATCTATTTACCTGTGAAGTAACCCAGACATTTTGACCCATAAAGTCACCTATAGTCTAGATCATTTAGTGCAGTTTAATATGTTCTGTATTTTCTAAAAATTAGTTCTTGGTTTCAAAGTTTCAATCAAGTTCAGTGCCTTTAGCAAGAACGTTGGGAGTGTATTCTTGCTAAAGGAGGCACATAATACCTGATTGTCTTTGTCATAATGTTAGTAGTTGTAATGAGATCCATTAATCGAGTTTGTTAAAAGATGGGTTTTCTTTTCATTTTTACTTTTTTGAATTTTTTTATAAGCATTTTTCCCTCATCTGGTATTTTTTATGCAGAGGTTCATTTCTGTAGGCACGAAGGATATGAAGGATATTCTCATCTTTGACCAGAATAATATTACTGTAAACAAATACATATTTTGCAGATGTTTTCTCCTTTATAATTGTACAGTATGTGTGTGAGCATATAAGGAATTGTATACTCTTTTCCTTTTAACCTCATTTAGTCTGAATTCTATGAGTAAGTGGATATTTAAGGTATACTAGTGTCATTATGTTGATTTTCTCTAGACATTTTTTTTTTTTTTTTTTTCTTTTTTTGTGGGACCCTCACCAGCGGCCTGGGAATGAACCTGCGCTGCAGAGGCTGCAGAGGCTGCAGGCAGCCTCGCAGCCCAGCGCTCAAACACTGCGCCACCAGGGGAGGCCCCATTTTGATTCTTTAAGTTCATTCTCTAGTGGATTATTCAGAAAGAACTCTTTGGAATGTTAATTCTTAAGTTCTTACATGTTGATAAGTTTGTGCTCTTTAAAGTGGAAGTCAGTTTTACTTGATTAAAATCCTTCCTCATATTCTCCCTCATTCATTTTACTTAATGTATTACTCCATTTTTTCTGGCATGACGTTGTTATTGAAAAGTCTGATGATAACTAAATTTTGCTTTCCTTAAAAATAATTTTTTCTTTGTCGTGATGGCCAAAAATTGTTTTCAGTTCAGTAATTTTATTTAATTATACATTGGTGTCAGTTACTCTGGGACCATTACCTCATTCAGAAAGTCAGCATCAATTTTGTTAGTATTTGATTCATCCAGTCACAAGCAATGAGAGATGACATATACCCCAACTTTTGATGAGAGGAATGACAAATAACTTACAGCTGTGTTTTAAAATTACTGTAGTATTTTCCTTAAAATTTGTCTGACATTAACTTTAATTAAGTCATGATCAGTAGTTTAGATTGAACTCATAGTTGACATTTAAAGTTATGTTTGCTAAGGTTATTGTTAAAATATCAAGTATAATTTTTGATATATTTTAGAAATAAATTTATTAGAGTAAGGAGTAATTACTACCATTAGTAGTTCATATGTAGTAACTACTACAAAGATTATTTTGTAAATATAGAAATTTTACATTTACATGTACATTTGTAAAATACATATACATTTTGATTGTTTATAGATGAGAGCTGCAAATCCAAAATATTCCTCCTAAACTACAGTAGTATCTTGTTTAAATTTAGATTTGAGTAAGTTTGAGCCAGCTGATACTACTTTGATCTTTAGTTTCATGGTATGTAAATTAAAATGTGTTAAGTACATATTACATTATGTAAGTAAACTTTTCACCGGAGTATAGCATTTTAGTAATATCAATTATCTGCATATGTATGTGTGTATATACCTGCAATACCTGCCTTCTGGTAGATGATTTTCAGTGTTTTCTAAAAGAAATCATGATGATGTTTTTGTTGAATTAGAAAGTATTACATAATGTTTAAACTGTAGTTTTAATTTTAGAATAGCATAGATATTCTCTCATAACATTTATTTTTCTTGGGATTCTTCACAGGGTTCTGCTCAGTGGAAATAAATGACAATTAGAGATTGCTCATCCACAGAAAAACCTGCTTTAAGAGCATGTTTTACCATGTGATCTTAAAATTTACTGCATTCTGTCATATTTCAAAATATAGTAAAAAGAAAAAAAACACTTGCATTTGTATAGTATTCATGTTGCATCACTCTGGAAATTAAAAAGTATGTCGATGTTCTTCATGACCCTCTCTGTAATATGAAGGGTATGCATTGTTTGAAGATTGGGTATATGGTGGTGAGTCAAGAGAAAGAGAAAGTATGGTATTTTGAACTAGAAATAGTTCATCAGGTGGCTGTTGTCATTCATTTGATCCCAGTGAGTAAAGAATCTTGCCATTCAACTATTTTTAATTTTTATTTACAGGTAAGCTTTTGGGTTGTTAGAGAGATTCTTCATGCACAAACATTAAAAATTAGAGCAGAAGTTCTGAGCCACTATATTAAAACTGCTAAGGTAAGAAAAATGTATGCTTTTATTTTTGAGTTTGAACTTTCAGAAATGTTTGTGAGTGAATGTTTGTGACATTATATACTATTTAATGACACTGGAAATAAAACCTATTGATCATTGTAAGTCAACTCTAAATAAGATGCTTGTTTTCTTTCTTCTGTCTTCCTCCCCTTTCTTTTTTAATCTTTCCTCCTTCCAGCTCCTCAAAGTTGCTGAATTATATGGTTTATTTGGATAATGCAGATAGAGGTCAGACTATGATGAAGTATATGATATTTGTAAAATGTTGGACTGTTTTGCAGGTGATGGAGCCTTGCATTAAGTAGGAGAATACCTATCACTTACTTACTTTGAAATAGTTTACTTGAAAACCAAGTGCAGAATGATGACTTCATTTTTAAAAGAAAAATGAGAATGTTAACCAAATATGTTAATTGATTAGTCACTGTGGGGCATAGGTAATAAATGAAGCAAAAGAAATGAAAGTTGATTTCAAGAATAGTAAGAATTTAGAGAGGAGAATGGAACAAAATATTATACAAGGTGATATGAAGATTTTATTAAAACCTGTAATAATTCTAAAACTATCTTAAGCTCATCAAAAAGTATTGAAATTATAGCCACATTCTTCATTGTTCTCTTAAGAAATACATAATTTGTCTCACCTATGAATGAAGAAAGATGGAATAAAAGGATACCATTTTAAAATTGTAAATTTATTATCATTATTACAAAATTGTTGCCATATTTTCCTTGATCACATGGAAACAGTTATATTCTAATATTCTGTGACACTAGGTGGCAGAGCAAGTCTTCTAAAACATTGATAGTTTTCAGAATCATAAAAAGTTTAAAACATTCCTTGTGAGATAGTAGATAAATATGGATTTTAGCTGATAGAAATTCATTTTCTCCATTGCATTATTATTTCCTGGTGTTTCTGTTAGGTTTTTTGTTTTTGTTTTTGTTTTTGTTTTAATGTACTTATTTGTTAAACTGAAGACCACCAACTTGCCCATTTGCTATTGTCCTCCTCGTCAAATAATCATTTAATTCCAGTTTAGACCTCTAGACATCAAATTATTTTTAGTAGTGCTGGCTTTCATTCCAAACCCAAAATTTGTAACTTTTCCCCCTCATCACTGTCTTTTAAATCTCTGTCCTCTGCGTTCAGTTAGAGATTTAAAAATTGGCCCATGTGATTGAGGGAGGGTGGAGAGGTGGATCTGGGAGTTCTGTCATCTGTCTGGCAGTCAGTCATTGAGCCTGCAGTCATGGGACAGAATTTCTTCTTCTCTGGGAAATCTATCGTAAGGCCTTTCAACTGATAGATGGCAACCCACCATATTAGCGAGTATAATCTCTTTGAATTAAAATCAACTAGTTATGGATTTCAGCCAAATCTACAAAATATCTTTACTGATATTTTAATCAAATCACTGGATATTAGAGCCTACTACAAAAGAATTTTTATAAAATCTATGTAGCCTACCAAAAGAATGATGAAGTGGATACCTACATATCCACTACCTACTTTGAATTCCCATGTGCCTCTTTATATGCAGTCTCTGACCCTCCCACTACAAAAGGAATCACTATTCCCTACTCTGAACTTCATGTTTGCATTTCTTTGATAGCTTTACCATCGATGTGTTCTTGAATGATATATTTCTGTTTTTGGATTTTTGCTTAAATTAAATTTTTCCATAATTACGTTTATACTTTAATAACTTCCTTTTTTACTTAACCATTCAGTGTTTCTGAATGGTTTTGAATGTATCTCTTTTGTAGAGTATTCTGTTCACATATGCCAAAGATTATTCAGTATATTACACCTTGGATAGTTTCCAGTTTTTGCTGTTACTAACTAGCATAGCTACTATAAAGCACTCTTGTGTGAGTCTATTGGGTCTCATTTGAGGGTGGAAGCCATTCTAAAAATATATATCTAGAAAAGACAAATTATAATCAAGAAAATGACAATTACACAAATAACTTTTATTGAATATAATGAGAATGAATTTTTGTGTGTGTTTTGGCCATTTAGATTTTTGTCCTCTAAAATATCTGTTCAAAATCTTTGAACAATTTCCTATTATAGGGTTGGCTTTTTACTATTTCCTATAATAGTTTTTAAATGATAGTTCTAGATGCTAGTTTCTGTTATATCTTTTATATGTATCTTCCTATTTATGGATTACCTTCTAACTTGATATAGATGTTTTTAAATTTAGTAGTCAGACTTACTGATCTCTAATTTTTATTGGTTTATTGAAGACTATCTCATTTTAGAAATCTTACTCTAATCTTTTTGAATATTAGAGACATTCTCTTATATTATCCTTTAACATTTTTTATAGCTTCAATTTTGGTACATTATGATCTTGAACAAATTTTTACATATACTGTGCATGAATTCCAGTTCATATTTTTGTGTGAATAATCATTCTGGCACTATTTTAAAAAATCCTTTTTTAAAGATTATTTTATTTTATCTGGAAGTATCTTAATGTCACTCTCCTTGAAAAATGATATTCTAGACTGCCAGTTTTGGGTTGTTTTTTGTTTATTTTTTCATTTACTCTGCTTGGTATTCCTTGAGCTTACTGGCCTAGAAGCTAATGTCTTTCAGTAATTTGGGAAAATTCTCAGCCATTATGATGAATGATGTTCATTATCTTTTAATAATCTTATGAAAAAAGAGAGAGAGAAAAAACTAGCAGGAAACTATAAATCTGAGACATTCAGTAGGGGAGGGGAGAGAGGGAGAGGGATTAATGTGGGCTGGAGTGGGAGGAGCACAAGAGACTAAGGTGCTGGTTCATAGGGTAACTTGGTGGTGGGAATTCTACAGAGACTACACCTGAGAGGAAAAATCAAACATTGTACAAAAATGAACAATGATGTAAAAATATATATGTATAAATATTGGGGAAAAATATGAAAAAGGGGGAAAAATTGGGTTGCTTGTCTTTTTCTTACCAATCTATAAAACCCTTTTTATAAAGAAATATATTGTGACTATTTTATTAGTCTATATTCTTGCTTTTTTGTATAATGCTATCTTTTGATGAATGAGAAGATTTTGATTTTGATCATCTAATTTGTTTATTTATCATTAAGATTACTGCTTTTTTTCTGTCCCATTTAAGAACTCTCTGCCTACTCTACCATCAGGAAGACATTTTCCTTTGAAAGGAAAGGAATAGAAGTTTTTCAGTTTTGACTGATCCATCTTGAGTTGATTTTTGTTTATGGTTTGAAGTGAAGGAGTCAAGATTCATTTTATCTGGTTGTTCTAACCCCATTCCTTTGTCTTAAACTGCTGTGGTATCTTGGTTGAATATTATTTGATTGAGCATGTGTAGCTATTGATCTGACTATTCTTGTTCCAACATCTTACTGTCTTAATAGCTTTATAGGAAGTCCTGAAATCTGATAAGTGTTCAAACTTTGTTTTTCTTCATCAAGATTGTCTTGGCTAGTTTTATCTCTTTTGAATATCTATAGAAATTTTGGAATTAGCTAGTCAATTTCTATAAAATGGCTGACTTGGGTTTTGACTGAAGTTTTATTGAATTATAAATTGTTTCAGAAGGAATTGACATCTTTAACAATATTAAGGCTTTCAATCCACGTATGTAGTATACCGATGTCCACTTAAGTTTTCCTTAATTTCTCTTAATAGTACTCTATCATTCTCAGTGAAACTATCCTACCTATTTTTTATTCCTAGATAACATGTTTTTGATGTTTCTGTAACTTTTTTTACATCTCATTTTCCAGTTGTTTGGTGCTACAAATGCAGGCACATGTCATCTGCAAATAAAGACTTCTGCCTTTCTAGCTTACTACCTTTAAACATTGTATTTAAAAGAACTGTAGAATTTGGAGTAAACCCAATCCTTTAGGCAGCAAGGATGAGGAACTGATTATTATGATCCAGTTAGGAATTGAAATAGGTAGGGCTGAAGAGCAATTAGTTATTTTCAAATTAAATCTAGTTAATTTATCTTAGTAAATATGTCTTAGGGTAAAATCTGTCTTATGTATATTATGAGTTCCTATCCCTTGCTAGACTCTAAATCTAAGTCCCAGCCCAGGCCCCAGCTGCTACACTGACCCACTGTTACATGGGCAATGAAAACTCTAGGTTTGAGATCCTACGGATTCTAGTCAGTTATGCTAGCCACAAGCTATAAAACTCCACTGGTTTCTCGTTACTACAGCAAAATATCTCCATTTATTGCCCACCTAATCATTTGCCTGCCCTTGTAGACACTTGATATATGTACGGCAGGGGGGCAGGGGAGGGAGCTGCTGCTAAATTCTGTTCATCTTACTCTGCAATTTCATGTCTACAACTCTCCAATATGTGCACAACATGTTTTTTCTAAGTTATGTATTTGGTTGTGTTGTAACTAGAATAGTGTTTCCTCAAATGGTTCTACATCTTAACTAGAAGTTGTAAGTCTAGTAGAGGTTTTAGTTGTGTGTGTTTGTTTTTACGATAATAAAGTGGCGTTTTTTTGTGCTAGAAACTTGCATAAGCACCCTTAGTTCTGATATTCAAAACAGGCATTTCTGCATTGCAGGTTTTTGATGGTGGGTGAGAACACTTCTAAATGATTGATGTTACATGATGTTGGCATGTAAATATCTGGTAGCATGAAGAAATCTGTGAAGTTAGCAATAAATGCCATTAACAAACTAATGGAACCTAGTGTTAGATAGTAGTTTTCTGCAAGGAGACAATAAAAAGCAAAGTTTTCTAGTATAAAAAAGAGACTGCTTACTAGAAACCAGGGTGTATGATCATACCAGGTGAAATTGATACTGAGCTTAACTGTTTTTGGAAAGCTTGATATATTAGCTAGACGTAGATTATTCCCAGAGCTTGGGGACAATGCCAAGTTAGCACATAGAAACTGTGTTGTGGGCCAATATTAACTTGCCATTCAGATAGTCATAGTTTCTCTAAGGACAGATCTCAACAAAGGGAGTATAAATACCAGTTGCCTAAATTGTGCTTGTTAATTAAAAATTTTTTTTTGTATTCATACAATTTATTTTTCACCTCTCCTTCTCCCCCTTTTCCTTCAATTTTCAGAAATTATACGAGTTGAATAACCTCCATGCACTCATGGCAGTGGTTTCTGGCTTACAGAGTGCCCCAATTTTCAGGTTGACTAAAACATGGGCGGTGAGTAATCTTCCATAGTTTAATAAAAGGTTAGACTTCCCATTGGAAGTAAAGAAATATTAATTTCTTTTGTAGTTCTTGGTAAGGTTAATACTATAATAATAGATAAGGATTTGTACTTTGTTCTTTGAAACCTATGTTTTTCTCTTCTGAGGTGTTCACCAGGTTTGTCAGGTAATTTGGGGATCTGTTACAGCTTGGTCCTGGTTCCTGCTCTTTAGGAAATAATTTTTATAGACCCTCTTTAAGCATCTTTCACAATATAGTTTTCCATATTCACTAATGAGATGATATCTGTAAATTATATTGAATCATGTAAAGATTATGCTTTTGGGAAGTTTGATGAAGATCTAAATTGTAAGTTTCAAAAAATTACTAATTTTTATTTCTGTTGTTAGTACCTAAACCCTTAGGTTTTTGTCCTTGGTAATAATGGAAAATGTGGTAGTTAACATGCAAATATGCAGCATTCTGATGTTCTGTTGATCATATTTAGCCATTACTTGCAGTGTTGATTTTGACTAATGCAAATTTGTCAGTTTTCTTACTTGAATGATGTGATACAGTCTCAAGCTGCCTAAAGTATTTTTTTATTGAGTTTTTTAATAATATTTTAGATTCCATTAGATTTGGTCATATTTAATACTGTTCTTTAATGTAAAGGAGAAATGTTTTTGTTTTGCACATTTTGTACAAAGATAAGTATGTTCTTAGGGCCCCGTGATAAAGACATGACTGACTGGATTTAAAAAGCCTCTTTTTTTTTAATTTAAATTTTATTTTTATATTCCCCATACAATTACAACCCCCTTATTTTGACCCCAAGCTCTCCTTTCCCCTCCCCCCCCCATAGAGTGTCTCTGGTTCATAGTTGTTTGTTGATTTTGATATTTTCTTTCTTATAGTTATTCTTTTTCCTGGTCCCTTATTTAAGTTTTCTAGATTCCTGCTATGAGTAAGACCATCCGGTATTTTTCTTTTTCTTTCTGGCTTCTCTGCGCATGATCCCTTCCAGCTCCATCCATGTTGCTGCAAATTGCATGTGTTTATCTTTTTTGAATGCTGAATAATATTCCATGGTGTATATGTACCACATCTTCTTGATCCAGTCATCTATTTTTGGGCATTTGGGTTGTTTCCAAAGCTTAGCTATTGTAAATAGTGCTGTAAAAAGCCTCTTTTTTTTTTTCTAATTTACTAAACTATGGCTTTACCTTTAATTAGCCTTGTGTTGCTTTCCATTTTCAAAGTATCTGAAGAAACAGATGTTTTTCATGAAAATCATTAGTGTGGAAGTGCTTACAATCCTTGTAATATTTTATTTGTATTATATAAACACCTGGATGAAGGATTTTCCTCTTAAAAATTCCTTGAAGTAATGATGGCCATATTCACTTAAAATTTGAGTTTCGTGGGGGGATGGAAATGATTATTAATATAGTTAGGAATTTTATCTTTGACGTTTTTAGGGAAAAGAATTATACTCTGATTTATATTGTGGTTTTGAAATGAGATACATTTCCCTCATATTAAATTTGTGTGTGTGTGTGTGTGGGACCCTCGCAGGTGGCCAGGGAACAAACCTGCGCTGCAGAGGCTGTGGGCAGCCTTGCAGCCCGGCACTCAACTGCTGTGCCACCAGGGGAGGCCCTCCCTCACATTAATTTTTATTTTCCTTAAAGATGTTTTCATTGTTTCTCTTATGAGTTTGCTTGAAAAAGAATTTTTTTAAGGGCCTCCCCGGTGGTGCAGCGGTTGAGCGCTGGGTTGCGAAGCTGCCCGCGGCCTCTGTGGTGCCGGTTCGATCCCCGGCTGCTCCTCGGCCACCGGAGGAGGGTCCCACATGGCGCGCAGACCTCTCCTGCCTCCCCTGCCTCCCGTTGCTCCCCTCAGCAGTGTACTTCGGTCCTTCTGCCTGCTCTGCTCCCCGCTCTGGCTCTGGTGAATTCTCTCACCCTCCTGCGCTTCTGACTGTACCCAGTGCATGTATAAACAAAACAAACAAACAAACAAATAAATAAATAAATAAATAAAACATGCCTCTATGGAAAAAAAAAAGAATTTTTTTAATTTAGTAGCAGCTCCATTATTAGTATTTCATACCATGCCAGGCACTGTCTAACTGCATGACATTTAATAGCTAAATAATATAGACAAAGTCCCTTTCTTTATAGATGATATCTAGCAGGAAGAGGTAAACTGTAAATAAGTAAATAACATCATAAATAGCGATGAATGTTCTGAAGAAAATAAAGTAAATAAAATGGAAAAGAAGGAAGTATTTTATATAATGTGGAAAAAGAATCCCTCATACTTGACAGTTGGGTAGAGACCAAGATGATTGAGAGAACCATTTATGTGGGTATCTGGGAGAAGTGGATTCCCCTTCAGAGTCGCTGCAGAGACTGATAACTTCAAAGGCTAGCAGGTTGCTAAGTGTTGACAGAGTGGGATGACATTGAATCAGATAATGGAGATGCTTCTTGTTGATAGTAAAGAAGTATAGAAAATGAATACGTGTGGTGGGATTATGTTTTATACATAGCATGTTTGAATTGGCCCACAAATATCCATGTGGAAACTATAAGATCAGAATTAGGTATACAAATTTAAGGAGCAGTTAGGTGTAGAGATATATTTTTATGATCATTAACATAATTATAGTATTTAAAGCATGAGATTAAGAAAAGAAAGCAAACGTTGTGGGGGGAAGAGTAAGCAGTTATGTAAAATATATGTAAATAAATAAATTATTAAAAAAATAAAACATGAGGTTAGATGGGATCACCTAAGGCATGAGCACAGATGAAAATCTCTGGAACTCTCCAAGATTTAGAGATGATAAAATGAGGAGGAATCGACAAAGGAAATCACATGTGGAGGTTTTGCACAGTCAGGCAAAGAAAGTGTTTCAAGAAAGAGCAATCACCTATGTCAAATGCTCTTCATAAGTCAAATGAGCTGAGAACTTTGAGATGACCATTAAATCTGGTACTTGGAAAAGAATTGGTGATCTTGGCAAGGATCATAGTAAAATCAGTATGGCTGTGAGGTAAAAGGATGATTGCATTTGAGAGAATGGTGGAGAAAAAATGGGACAGCCAGTGTAGAAAATGCATTTGAGGAATTTTGTTGTGTATGGCTGAGATGAAGTTCTGCAGAGAAATGTGGCAGTCGCTGGAGGGGAGTGTGAGACCAAAGATTTGTAGTGTTTTGTTTTGTTTTTGGAAATGATGTCAGTGGCAATATATTTGTGTGGTGGTGACAATCATCTAGAATGAGAAAAGTGGTAAGAACAAGGGGTTACTCCAGTGATTGGGTACAAAGGAATTAGCCCCAGTACTCTAGGGGAACAGGAATAGTTTACCCATTTTTAACAGGAGAGGAGGGGATACATTTGGTAATAACAGCAAGAAAGTTGGTAGATCTGGGATTTTTTAGTTCTTCTGATTGTTTTGTTTCTGAAGACATAAGAAGCAAGATCATAAGTTAAGAGTACAGGGGAGAAGTGTTGGAAAAGAACAAAGATTTGAAGAAAGAACACAGGAGGAAAGTCAACCAGAATTGGACTTTTTTAGGTTTGCTTGTACCACAGAAGTGGTTAAGGATTACAAACAAGAGGTAAATGTAAAAGTTATTTTACTAGCAGATGAAGACTCTAACCCAATTAAAAGGAGAGAAACAATGAACTGTGATAAGGTAGTGTGGTCACTGTATTGGAAATCCTCATGCAGAGAGCAGGTAGAAAATACAATCATCAAAAAAGACAAGAAACAGAAAAGTCACGGTATTGGAAGTGGAGTCTGTGTGAAGGTTGCAATCACCAAGATGTAAGAGTAGTATTCATTTGATACTTTTTCTGATTACTCCAATCAAGATAGAACAAAATGGTGACTTACAGCTATATAAATAACAGTAACGTAAGAATTACAGTCTAGTGTTCTCTTGTCCAATATGGTAGCCACTGGCCACATTGGCTGTTAAATTTAAATCATTTAAATCAAACTTAAAATTTATTTCCTTAGCCATACTAACCACATATGAGCACTCAGTGATTACATGTGGCAGTGGCAGTGGCTGTCATATTGAACAGCACAGACAGGACATTTCCATCATTGCACCAAATTTGAGTGGACAGAATAGATCTAGGACTTGAACTTTATAGAAGCTGGGGATTTTAGGAAAGATGGTGAGATAAATAGTAAGCTAGAAGTAGTTGTGCAGAGCAACAATTGTACAACAATTGTACCTAAACTGGTGATGTTACAAGATTTATAAGAAAAGGAGAATGCTTAGAGAAAAGGTGAAGACTTGGAGAAGATGAAACATGAGTCCCAAAGGAAAAGAATTGGGAGAAGTAGGGTATTGGATCAAGTTAGAGATAGTAAAAGTCAAATGGACTTTTTGCCCATTTGGTTTAAAGGTTTTTAATGAGTGCAGAATTGAGAGTTTTTTCTTTTAACTGATGAAGGTAATGTGCACAAAATTTACAACTTTGTAAATGGAAGAAATATTGGGAGCATTCTCTTTAAGCATCAAGGAAAAAGGATACCTATTTTCTTTCTTTCTTTTAAAATTTATTTATTTATGCATACAAGAGCCAGGGTACAGGTCAGAGATACAGGGAGGGTAAGAGGATTCACCAGAGACAGAGTGGGGAATCAGAACAGGCAGACTGACTGAAATACACTGCTGAGGGGAGCAGTGGGCAAGACAGGAGAGGTCTGCTGCGCCATGTGGGTTGCTCCCTGGCCAGTCGGGGATGGAACTCCTCATGCTGCAGAGGCTGCGAATTGCTTCATAGTGCGGTGCTTAACCCCTTGCACCACCAGAGAGGCCCGATGCCTATTTTTCACTGCTTTATCATAGAGATCTTAACCAGTGCAGTCAAAAAATTATTGAAAACAATAAAATTCATCCTCAGAAAATTAAATATAGAATTACCATTAAATCCAACAGTTCCATTGTTGAAAGAATTGAAAGCAGAGACTCATCTTTTGTATAATATTCATCGCTTTGTGATTCACGGTAGCCAAAGTTGTAAACAATCCAGAAGTCCATCAACAGGTAAATGGATGAGCAAAATGTGGTATAAACAAACAATGGAAATATTTTTCAACCTTATAAAAGAATGGATTCTGACAGATGCTACACCATGGATGGATTTTGAAGACATTATGCTAATGAAACAAGCCAGACACAAAGGGAGAAATAATATATGAGCCCATTTATATGAGGTACTGAAAGTAGTTATACTTACAAAGACAAATGTAGGTGGTTGCCAGGACCCAGGAGAAGGGAGGAATAGGAAATAATTCCTTAATGGGTATGGTATTTCACTTTGGGAAGATGGAAGGAGTTGTGGTGAAGAATAGTGGTGATGTTTTCCCAATAATGGGAATGTGCTTAAGAATTGTATACTTAAAAATGGTTAAGATGGTAAATACTATGTATATTTTACCAGTTAAAAACAGTAGGGTTTATTTAAGGTGATTGGATATACAGATAAATATACAAAATCATTGTATTTGAAAATATCACCTATGTTCAGAAAATAATAAAACTTTACAGAAGTCATTGAAGGTGAACAAAGTAAATGGAGCATTACCCCTTGTTTGTGGATAGGAAAATTTAAACATGCCGGTTCTTCCCAAATGTCTGAGGAATTCAGTTTTTCTTTTAATTCAAAGTCTTAGTTTCTTTTAATTCAAAATCCCAGTGTGGGGAACCAAACTAATTGCTTATAGCATTTATTGTCAGGAAATGCAGAGATTCAAGAAGAGCTAAGCCATTCCTGAAGAACATGGCGGTGGGGACTTGAGCATGTACTCCAACAGTTACTAAGATATATTGTATTATTTAAGACATGTAAAAGTAGTGTAATTTTATATATCTCAAATAATGGAACAGAATAAAAAACCCCAAAACAGGACCTTACTTTTATATGTGATTCAGATATATTATGGTGGCAGTATAAATCATTGAAGAAATTTATTCATTGGAACTGAAAAGTTGGTTATCACTTTCGGAAAAAAAATAAATTAGGTCTTACATCATTCACAAAGGCATTATCAGATGAATTTAAGGATATAAACCTGGGTGGGGTGGGGCGGGAGGAAAGCCTTTTGAAACCTTTTTAGAAGAAAAAAGTAGTTGAATATCTCTCTGGCATAACATTAATAGACTTTTCTGGCTTGGAATAGTGAAGAATTTTGTTGAAGACATGAAAAACTCAAAACAGTGAAAGAAGAGATGGATAAGTTTTGCATATTAAAGTAAGAATTTCCGTTCATCAAAAGACATCTGAAAGAAAATTGAAAAGAAGCCTGAAAGTAGGGAAAGATAGGTACTCCAGTTGCAATTGGTAAAGAACTTATATTCAGATATATAAAGAACTCTTATAAGACAAAAAGAAAAAAATAAGAAAAACAGTAAAGTGGGCATCCTGATAGAACTTCAGAGAGTGCACATGGAAAAATGAAGAGGTGTGAACTAGAGCTACATGTGACACAATGGGTAAAACTTTAATGCCAGAATTTGAGTAAGTAAAGCCTGTGCCAAGAGCTATAAGCAGTATGCTATTCTTTAGTCAAAAAATAAATAAGAGAACGATAAACACAAATCCAGGATAATGGTTACTGATTACTTCTTAAAGACATCCAGCAGAATTGGATATGGAAGAAGCATGGAAGTAATGGCATATAGTTCTTAGGTAGGAAGGGTGTGCTTAGTGGTAGTCATTATATAATTTATACATTAATTTAACAAAATACATCAGAAACTAATGATGTTTGTTTGATGAACAAACTTAATCTGCACCTCATGTCCAAGATAAATAAGTTATTTATACTAATGTACCACTTACACCTATTGTGTGAGGATATAATTCAAGGTGATGAGGGTAATCTGGGAATCTTGTTTTTCTTGTGGTGACTAAAATGAATGAGGTGTCATCCAGATTTTCCCAAAACACATTATCCTGGTAAGGTGTTGTAGAGATCTGGCCCAGGAATGTGGGGTTCTCACATTCATGCACAAGTGAAATTGTGATGAGGTTTGTCCACCAAATTGTCATCTTTTTTTTTTTGGTGGGACTCTTGCCGGTGGCCGGGGATCGAACTGGTGCTGCAGAGGCTGCAGGCAGCCTCGCAACCCAGCGATCAACCGCTGCGCCACCGGGGAGGCCCCAAATTGTCATCTCTTGATCAGAAGAACTGTGGAACCAGAACATGTGGGGTTAGAATAGTGAAGTGACGTAGAAATAATATTGTAGGAACTTAAGAAATAGATTTGCAAAGGAAGAAAAGGAAATATAGACTGTTTAGTTATATCTTTGTCATGTGGGCTTTGGATAAATTTCTAACCTATCACTAGGAAAATCCTGTCTGAACATCTAATTCTTTTATCTATATTCTTCCTCTGATTAGTTTTCTGGAATTAGTCTCTGCTACCCCCATCCCAGATCGAATCCTTTTAATCTAGTTATTAATTATGAAATTCCAAGATGTATTATTTACATATATATTAGACCATGTCGTTCACCAGTTTTATGTTCTAGATTTGGCAAAATCAGTAATAAGTTACAAGTAATTTGTTTTTCCTGATAACTCACCAAAGTTTTGAATGGTTGCCTTAGGGGGAAAAATAGGTTTCCTGTTACCCCTGCTGTGTCACATCACTGTATTTTATACATCCAAGTATTTTGTTATGTGGGGAGACAGAGCTGATTGGATGTGCAGGTAGCTGCAGAGACCTACACCTAATCTTGAAAGTGCTAATAAAATGTATTGAAAATATACCAGGGGAAAAGATTTTGAAACCACTGTCATAGACCATGGACTATCTTGTCTAAAACACTAAAGCCAAAGACTCATTAGAATTTTGTGTTTTAAAGAGGAAGGAATAATGGTCAGACATTTACTTAATAGAGATTTTTCTGAAGACGATCCAAATCATTGAACCTATAGGTTCTAACATCAATCCCAACTATTCCTCTTTCAATACTAGAAAAATGTAGTGAATTAGTTGTCAAGGAAAATTCTTTATCTCCAGGACAAGAAACCCTGAAAAACAGACCTGCAACTTTGTGAGCAGATGACTAATAGTGTTAGTATGTTCTGTTTCTTGCTTTCCCTGTGATCACCTTGAATCTCAGTCCCTTTAAATTAATCCTCAGACTTTTGTGTTAATTTCATAAGTGAATTAGATGTGAATTTTATAGGCAAAAGTGTTTTGCATGTTATTGTAAATAACACTGATATTTTATGGCAAAGTGAAAATTTATTATAACATCATGAAATAGTAATTTTTTTTTTTTTTTTTTTTTTTTTTGTGGGACCCTTGCCGGTGGCCGGGGAACGAATCAGCACTGTAGAGGCTGCAGGCAACCTCGCAGCCCAGCGCTCAACTGCTGCGCCACCAGGGGAGGCCCAATAGTAATGTGTTTAAAGAAAAAAAAAATTTTTCCCCAGAGTTTTTGACGTGCTTCAGAAAATATTTTCTGAACCTTCCAGTTAATTTTTAGAGTACCCGCTACACATTAACTCCTCAAGCCTCTTAAATCAGTGCAGGATTATTCAGCTGTACAGATAGCACTGATCAAAGGGATCTAAGTAAAGTGTCTTGTGAAAAATGTAGGGAATCATAGTTTTATAGTCATTGGTAGCCCTTACCATGGTTAAATTTGTTGAAAAAAATTCTTAAATCACAAAATTCAATATTTATTGCTTAATGATTATGGAAAGTAGTTTTTATTGTTGAGGCAGGAAACAGTATTTAGTATACTTGGGCATTTAGGCTGAATATTAATACATAATTTGTAAATTAGGAAAATGATCACAATTGTTTAACCATTTAAATTAGCAAAGATGAAAAATGCAGCATAATTTATGACTTATTAAGTTAAAATTTTTCATGTATATAGAAAGGATATTTATAAATAATTGATTTGGGTTATTATCTTAACAGATATGTCTGAATTTTTTGTAAACTACCAAAATATAAAAAATGTGTAATATTGAAATTAAAATTTACAGTAACTATTCAAGTCTTTGCTATAATAAAATGGGAGTTGGAAATAACTTAGGCTTTTCTGTTTGTTTTTTAGTTATTAAGTCGAAAAGACAAAACTACCTTTGAAAAATTAGAATATGTAATGAGTAAAGAAGATAACTACAAAAGACTCAGAGACTATATAAGTAGCTTAAAGATGACACCTTGCATTCCCTATTTAGGTGAGTTATGTCACTCTGTGTTCATTATACCTAGTTGTTGCTCTGCCTTAATCGGTAATTTATATAAAATTCAAGATATTTTCAAAGTATATGTATCCTTGATAGAAATTAACTCCAAGATTGTTAAGTTGAAAAAAAAAAAATGACTGAAGAAATGTTACCTTATTAGCTGAATGTATTTTCATATTAAATTAGCCCTTTGCCCTTAAAGTTTTTCATAGACTCATTTTTTTCTTGGAGATAACAATATGGTAAAATAATACATTTTGGCTGTCTTAGTAGTGCATTTAAAGAGTGAAATGTTAGTTTGTAATGAAGTTTTATACTATAAAAATACTTAAATATTAACTAAAGAAATTTATCAAAAGATGTATTAAAATCTCAACATCATGAGTTCTTATTTTATATAATTGGTAGATATTTTAGTTGTGAAAGTAGTCTCAAAGAATGTTGGTGTTACTGTTTTCCAAATGAAATGAGTTATTAAGCTGTGGAAATTCAGTGTAGAGAAAAACAATTCTGTATTTTAAGTATTATTTAAGTAGGAATTTCTCTCTTTACTGTAAATTTTACAGAGTTTACAAATTCCAAGAAGTATTTAAACAATGACATGTTATTTTCAACAAAATATGACTAATGCTTTGTTTAGGCACTTGAATGAAAATACTTCTCAAACTGTCCCCTTTAAAATGTGTATTTCAATTTAAATACAGAAATATTCCATGTGATATAAACCTAGCACATAGTAAAATGGTTTGATCCTTATAGAATAATCAAATCTTTAACATTTGTTTATTTCTAATACCCTTTTTTCTCCCCTATCTCCACTCTGACTTTCATGTAACTATTCATACCGGATTTCGTAATAGCTTTTTTTGAGAGTAACAGAAAAACCTATTATTTACTTAGAAGATGCTGCAGTGCCATCTTTGAAGTCTTCCTGATACCAGTGACTAGAAGATGAAAAAGTGGGAATGAAAGCAGTTGATACATGATATACCACCATTCATCTGCTATAGTGTCACCCATATTTGTCCACAAATAGTTGAACTTAGAACATTGCAGGAATTCCTAAGATCCCAGTAGGAATAGGGAATATCGTGCACCCTGTGTTGAGGGCACAGGTTTCCCTAAGCGCAGTATAGATGATGGTCACTGCATGCCAGAACATTTGTGTCCTGTTTCTTTGACTAGAGTTCTGGGCCTAAATAAGTATACTTCTTCAGAGAGGTTCTGAATTGGATATTGGGAGAGACATTCTGCATGTGCTCCTCCTTTTACCACAGCCTTGGCTATGCCCCTTCTTGAGAATATTTTGGGGGGAGAGGAAGAATAGAAGATTTTATTTTTTTAATAACCAATATCTTTATTCCATGAACATAAACATTTTACAGTATGAATAATACAATATTGAGAATCAACAATGTTAAATTCCAAAATGACTCCCTACTGGATTTTCAAGTTATTGAGTTCTTTAAACCTTATTTTCTTTATCTAGAAATAGCACACAACCAAGAAGAATCATGTTCTTCTTAAGGCTGACTGGGACCACATGATCTCTTTTTAATTCACTTACTTAAGTGAATAGTTGAGAAAATCAAGATCCAGAAGCATGGAAGACCTAGCTCATAGTCCTGAGATCTAGTTACTAGCAGATCTACAATCTCAAGTCTTGATCTACCATCTTTCCATTTACGCCCGCTGAACTCTCATTCTAAAATTTAGTGATTGTATGATTATTTTCTTTCTCTGTATTTCTGTCAGTTGTCTTCTTTCTTTGCCGTTCTCTTAAGTGTATTCTTCTAAAGGTCTCTCTCAGTCCACTACTTTATCTACACTCATTAGGATTTTGGCCTCATGTCTCGTGAATGGTCTCATGCATTTTTTTTCCCCTACATATCCTCTAATAAAAATTCACAAATGTAGACAGACTAGCTGTCTGCTTAATTCCTGGACCTAGTAAATTTTAGGTACTCATACCGATTGAGATATCAATAGGTGACTAATTCAACATGTCTCAAAGTAAATTCATCTTCTCCCTCCCTCCAAACCTGACCTATCTCAGCCTACCTTGATCACATCAGTGAAATTCGCTATACTCCCCAACACGCTAGAAACTTGGGTTTGGGGTTTTCACTCGATCTCTCCTTTTTCTTCTTCTACTCATATTATCTAGTAAAATTCAATACTTGTTTCTAAAGATTATATATTCAAGAGTTCAAAACAGAAAGGGGAAAAATGGCACAGAACTTAAAAAGTTAAAATAGAGAACACACTTTAACATCTATATAATTTTATATAAGGAAGTCTTTCTCTAATTATCCATCCTTACATAGTTTGTTAAGAAACAACTGAGGTTGGGAAATGACTGAGGACCATTTGGCATAAACATTTGGTAGAACTAGAAAAGGAAATAAAACATTTGTTAGGTAATTATGACTCAGTTATTTTCCAGCATGAAAATCATCCTTTTAAGGCAGTGACAGTTTTGTTTTATAGCAAACCTTGAAATTAAATGTATTCCATCTATCAAAACAAATGTGAAGCATTTTTGACTTATACAACCTTTTGACTGCTTCATTTACTTACATCATAGACAACTGGTTCATTTTTTTCTCTCTTTCAGTCCTGAAATGTTGCTAAAATAGTTAACAACAATTTTAATAGTTAACAGTTTTAACAATAGTTCATATCTTATTAATAATGACTTTTCATATATTGTTTCAGTTTCATATGATATAGGGTCATGGTTTTTAAATTTAATTTGCTTAATATCACATTTCTTTCCCACTCATGAAATTAAGCCTAGTGCAGTGGCTAAAAATGTCAACATTTACAATATGCTGTTTGATAGGACTGAACTTAACCTGAAGATATTTGAAAGATATACACATTATGCATATTGGTGGCTTCTAGTTATCCCTCTTCAAGTATACAGAATTTGTATAACGCTACCCTTTATCATTATGTCTGTAAAGGTTCTTAAAGATTTTATCAACAAAAAATCTCTGTTGTGCATAGAGAAAAGGTAAATGCTAATCCTCTGTCTTTTGAAGAGAAATGTGTTCCAATCTAATATTTTTGTCCCTAAAAATTATAATCAAAACCAACTATTCTTTGTGAAGCTTTAAAGAGGGTAAGGGTTTATGGTGACAAAAAACTCTTCATTTATGCTAAACAAATATAACTCAATGTGGGTTAAGTTATAAAAAAACGGAAAATTTTTCTTGACTTTCCACTCATCAGCCCTTGAAAAATTATCTCCTGTTGGTTTGCTTTCAAGGTAAAAATTAGTCAGCATGGGCAATTTAGTAAAACATTTTTAGAATAAGGATACGGTTTTTCTGGAGAGGAAGGACTAGTTTGGCAAGTCTCAAGGAAAATAAAATTTATATAAGAATTATTGCTTTAAGTCTGAAAATCATTAACAGCACTCATTTATTCTTGTCTTTTAAGAACAATCTTAAGGGGGTTATTGAAGAATTTGGTATAGAAAGTTTTGCTTTGCTGGAGAGAGAAAAATAGAACATTGTGCAAAAATAGTTTAGTTGTATGAAACATAAGTATTCTTTCATGTGCATTTCTAGCTCTGGAAGATGCGGTAACTACCGGCTTAGGCTTAAGGTGTTTTCTGGGAAAGAGCATATTTTTAAAACTATGAAATAAGTAAATTGTTGCAGTTCTATATATTGCTTTCTGTTAAGTAGAAGCACAATGTTACAGAGTTTTTGTGAACTCTTCTGAATTTTTGTAGGACATAAGTAAACTCTTTTTGATGTATTCAGATACCATTCCTTACTCTTGGAGAGTTCCCCCTAACCCCACTTAATTTTTTTTTTCTTTTTGTGAAGAGAAAGCTGTCCCTATATACCCCCATTCGCCATTCTCTGAAAATCCTTGTTTCATGTTCATGATGTTTTCATTAATCTTCCCCTTCCCCCGCTCCTTCAGCAGCATGTAAGCTCATATTTGCTTAAGGCTTTATTGGTAATATCCAGAACAAAAATTAGGCATTTAGTAATATTTACTGGTTGATTTAATTAAATAATCCCTTTTCTGGCTGTTCCCATTGTTCCATTAACTTTTTTAAAAATTTTTGTTTACATGCAATGAATGTATTTGTGTGGCACTTTTGTATATACCAACTCCCTACTCACCCGCAATTTTCTTTTTATTACATCAACTTGCTAGCCAGTTTGTTTCTTACTGTGCTTGGTGCTAAAATGTAGCAGGGAATGAGATGAACTTGTTCCTCCCTTCCTGAAACTTAGCATCTCTTTCTTTAATACCACATATTCAGGTTGGTATCATTATCTTGTGAATAATCTCTCTCATCTCCTGTGTCTTGGAATAGGTACCTGTCATTGCCAAACCTCATTAGTGTTATCCTCATTACAGCTAATGAAATGAGTAATGCATGCTTAAATTTAGAAGGATCTTCAGATCTAGTTGATCCTTTCTTATTTTTCAGCAGTTTTACCTACATTAAAGTGTTGAATTCTGATCACTCAGTAGAATGTGTTTCTTTATTTAGTTTTACATTAGTTTTAGAAATTTCTAGAACCTATGTACAAAGATATTCAAAAATTAATAACTCTATTCACATTCTAGTCCTGTAATTTAAACAAGGTCTAAGGTTTTCTGCAGCTCTGCGAGAATTAATGAGACACTTTCCTTCTCCTTTGGCAGAATTTTAGTTGATTAAGTATATTAAAAAAGCTCGGGCACTGATCTCAAAAATTCCTAATGGTCAAAAAATGTGATTGTCTTTTAATATTTATGAGTTTTAGTCCATTTTTCTTACTTTAGTTTGCTTTGTAGAAAGTATACAACATGATGCATTGCTTTACCTTATTCTTCTGATTTGATTATATGGTTTTTAAAACAACAACAAAGCATGTTCACTCATTTTCTTTTGGATACTGAGAATGTGCTCTAACCAAATGGCAGTTAGCCCTGGCTTTTTCTGTAGCCAAAGTTACATTCCCATTTTCCATTACCTCATTTATATCTTTTTTTAACCTTCATTCTTTTTGTATATTTAAAATTCTCAAACATTCTTTAATGGTTTATTTCTGAAGTTTATTTTAGACTACATAAAGACTTATGGTATAAAAGAACTGAACATGTGCATTCATTTCTTTCCCATGTTCCTAGTTTTTCTTTAAGAACCTGTATCTTAAAAGTTAATAACAATAATGTTTGGCAGCTATACAGACCAGATTCCCCCAGGTCTAACAGTTTTGCCAGTGGTGTTCCCAATTGCTCATATTTCAGTAATTTGTTTTGTAATTTTTAAGCAAAACTTAACAGGAAGATAATACTAAAAATTTTAATAATCATTGTGTATTTAGCATTTAATTCTATATATTCCCTACCCTGTATGCTTTACATAAGTTATCTAACTATTAATATTTTATCAGGTAAGTGGTAGAATTATATATTCATGTTTTACAAATAAAGAAATTGAGATAAGGTTATGAAGATAACCTTGCTATGAAGATATGCATCGTAACTTTCATTTATAGTTCAAGGAAAGGATTACATATTAATTTAGAATATGTGATTGGTATGTAGTTATTATATAATTATTATAATGTATATAATTAATATTATGTTAATATATCACATTTTAGGACTCTATTTAGATTAAAATTCTCGGTTTATTTTTCAAACTTTCCTATAATTATCTATGGAAATACAACATAATAGCTAATAAAACTAAAAACTGAACTTACATTAGATGACTTCTTGAGGGGATGGTCATTGGCATTTTAAGTGAAATCATTCCTATCTTAACTGGTTATCTTTCATAGAAGTAACACCCTAACAACTTGCTAGAGTGTAATAATCTTTAAGTTACCAGATCAATTTAAATATATAAAAATCACATTGTATTAGTGCAGACTTGCAAGTAATTTAAAACAATTTCATAATTGCACGTTTTTACAAGCTTGTTATATTACTACCAATAGGAGTTCTAAAAGTAGAATACTAGAAGAATTACCGCTCTCATATCATGACTCATCAAGTAAGTGAACATTTGACTGAAAATCTGATCTTTCTACTCTACCTGGCTTGGACCCTGAAGATAACTATATTTACTTGGAGATACTTAATTTCAAGGTGGTGTCTACTGTTGGCATCACCTAAAATGTCAGAATTTTTTTTTTCATGCATTCATGAATTTATTTATTTATTCAAGAACCAGGGTACAGGCCATAAAATCTCAGAATTTTTAAAGTGCACGCCAAGTTTCCTAGTATTGTTGGCTTCCCATTGAGTACAGAATAGAAAGCTTCTATACTTGCTATACTAAGAATATTTTTTTAATACTTTTTTTTTTTAAAGATTTATTTATTTATTTGTTTGTTTGTTTGTTTATTTATTTATTTATTTATACAAGCACTGGGTACAGTCAGAAGTGCGGGAGAGTGAGAGAATTCACCAGAGCCAGAGCGGGGAACAGAACAGGCAGAAGGACCGAAGTACACTGCTGAGGGGAGCAGCGGGCGGCAGGAGAGGTCTGTACACCATGTGGGACCCTCCTCAGGTGGCCAGGGAGCATCCGGGGATCGAACCGGCCGTGCAGAGGCTGCGGGCAGCTTTGCAACCCAGCGCTCAACCGCAACGCCACCGGCGAGGCCCTATACTAATAATATTTTTAAGAAGCTTGATTTCATTAAAAAAAAATAGCAACATAATACTTCTGTAAACCAGTTCCTAGATTATAACTCGGTCTCAATGAAGGTAAAACAACCTTGTCCTTATGCCTAGGTAACCTGCAAAAAGTACCTAACTTTTGGCCTTATCTGCCACAGAAGTGACATATCTAATCACACACAAGTTCTTTATGAAATGCTCATGATGGCTGTCCTTGCGTTAATTTTTCTTTTTCTTTTCTTATGGGCCTATCTCATAAATACCTGCCATAATAGCCCAAGTAGCTCTATTAGATTTGCCAATGAAGATGATGAATCAACATGAGTTTATGCCTGAAGATGTGGATATTATTTCTTTTAACACATGTATTGATCACCTACTCTATGCAAGGCACAATAATAGGTAATGCAGAAAATATATAGATGAATAGTAGTAATCAGGTAACTAAAGTCTACCAAATCCTTCCTGATGTCAAGCATTATTCTTTATGTTTTACTGTATGCACTCCCTTTTTTTTATTTTCACATTAGCCACATGAATGAGGTGCTGTTATCCTCATTTTATAGATAAGAAAACCGAGGCAGGAGTATATAAATTATCTAAGCTGATGGTTGGGCCACAAACCCCAGCGAGCTCGCCTCTGATTTTAGAAGTTACCCTCAGTGGCCTCCCTGGTGGTGCAAGGAGTTAAGTCTCAGTGCTATTAAGCTATCCCAGCCACTCCAGCATGAGTTGGATCCTTGGCCAGGGAGCTGACCCACATGGCGCAGAAGACCTCTCCTGTCTCGCCCACTGCTCCCCTCAGCAGTGTATTTCAGTCGAACTGCCTGTTCTGCTCCCCACTCTGTCTCTGGTGAATCCTCTCCTCCCACCCACCGCCCACACCTCTTGCCTACATCCCAGTTCTTATATGCATAAATAAATCTTGAAAAAAAAAAGTTACCCTCAGCCATCATTTAACGCCACCTGTTACCTTCTCCCTGCTCACTGGGAACACAGTTGCTTGCTACTATTAGGCTTCCCAGGATCCCAGAGCTAGAATATCATCTCCTTGAAGGAAAGCAGAATGGTGATGGCCAAGGTCGTTTAGCATTTAGCCTTTGCTAGTGCATTTGTTTACTTTCATAATATTCTGGGTTTGTTGTTTTTTTTTTTTTTAAGATTTATTTATCTATGCATACAAGAACTGGGGTACAGGTCTGAGGTCTGGGGGGTGAGAGGATTCACCAGAGACAGAGTGGGGAACAGAACAGGCAAATTGACTGAAGTACACTGCTGAGGGGAGCAGCAGGCGAGACAGGAGAGGTCTGCTGTGTCATGTCTCCCTGGCCAACCAGGGATCGAACTAGTGCCGCAGTGGCTGCGGACAGCTTCATAGGTTGCGTCTCAACCCCTTGTGCCACCAGGGAGGCCCCATATTATTCTGGTTTTAATATTACTATTCTTCTATGAAAATTCTATCATACTTGTCTTCTATAGGTTTTAGATGTCTAAGTAAAATGCTTTAGTTCTGTTTTTACGTGGAATGCCTTAAAGTTGTATTCAGTTAGAATGTGATATAACAATGACAAGCCTAATTCATCCCAGAAATCTTACAATTGAAGTCTTTTGGTTCTAGGGTGATGGGGAAGGACTTCTAAACCATTTTGAGATGATCATACATAAAACAAAAAACAATAGCACAGTAAGATTTTGATACTCTCTTACTTTCTTTCATCCAAAATTGTATTTTGAAATGTGATAGAGGGAAAATATTGGTCATCTTGCTGGACTAGAGGTTCAAACAATTCTCTTCAAATTGAGCATTTCTTACTGATCATTTGCCTCACACCTTTTTAGTTCTGCTTGAATTTTCTTTTTGTACAAGCAAACATCTCATGAGATTTCTCTAAAATTTTAGTTTCACAAATGAATTAGGTCAGGCCTAAGCAGAAAACATGTTTCTGGAGAGGAATTGTTCCAGAAGGTTAGTAATAAAGTTGTTAGTTGCAAAAAATGAATAAAGGACACATACACTTTTGCTGCTTGCTAAAATAGAATTAGCAATTTGGACTACCCAAAACCCTGTGGATTCTGCCCTGAAGCATTTGAATCTCAGTATTAAGAAAACAACCAGGGCCTCCCTGGTGGCACAAGAGGTTAAGTACTGCACTATGAAACAATCCACAGCCTCTGCAGCACGAGTTCAATCCCCGGCCCGCCAGGGAGCAACCCATATGGCGAAGCACACCTCTCCTGTCTCGCCCACTGCTCCCTTCAGCTATTTCAGTCAGTCTGCCTTTTCTGTTCCCCACTCTGTCTCTGGTGAATCCTCTCACCACCCCGCATCTCTGCCCTGTACCCCAGCTCTTGTATGCATAAATTAATAAATCTTAAAAAGAAAAAAAGAAAACATCCAGTGGAATGTCAGTTGTTTTAGTCCCAACTCATAAGTATACAGTAATGCTTGTAAAGCTGCAAGCTTTCTGACTTGAAAGGCAGGTATTTTTTTCCCCAAGTAGTAAGGATCAGTACATTAGGAGGGTAAGTATTAATAAATGAGCCTAGAATTATGATTCAAATTTGTAAAACCATTTGCTCACTAAATAGTCTGCATTTTTGTAATATCAGCATTTTGTTGACATAACTTATATTAATACAGATTTTAGTGTTCAGCAAATTATATGAAGATAATACTGAGAAATTCATTTGAAGAACTCAAATTTAATCATTCATGTAAAATGCACACATTCAATTTGAAATAACTTTTATTCAATGCAAGATATATTTTCTATTGGCAAAACTAGAGTTTTCTCTAATTTCTTGTCAATGTTTTTATAAATAAAATGCTTACTTGGCTAAAATCTTAAAATTATTTTTCCATTGGGAGTTAGAGTGGTCTCAAAGTTTTTTAAATAAGTTTTTAAGGATCTTGAACAAATATTCAATTCTGATTTAAAATAAAGCTAAGATTTGTTTTACATTGTGTCAAGTATTTACATTTTAGAAAACAAACTGCTGTATTTCTTCAGTACGATTTGTACACTAAGATTATGGATACAAATAATCATCTGTAGTATATTAAGGAAACATGAAATGGCATTCATAAATCCCCTTTTGTAGTTTTGGTAAAATTCATTGTAAAGACTATCTGTAGAAATAAATTGTGTAAAGTAATATACATGTGACATTTACATATTTAGAAACTGAAAAATGAAGAGTTCTGTGTCATTTAAATTGGAGACTGTCCCTTTTCAGTCAATAGGCTTGATCATCATCTGAACTGCTTTCAAAGAATATGACCCGCCTCTGTATTCAGCCCAAAAAATTCCATCCTGGTACTTGCTTCTGTAATGGCCTCCTCTGTACCACACTCCATTTAGGTTGGAATGCGCACAGGCATTGTACCACCAGCCTCCTTTGTGAAAGTGGGCACAGTTTCCTTTGAGGAAAAAATAGATATCAAAATAAATGCTTATTCTAAGTGTGGTACTATATAAACCATCAAAAACATAGTCAACCTTTGCAACATTTTGAGTTTTTCTGATTTCAGTCACCCTTATCTTACTAGTTTTATTTCTTCATTTGTTGTTGTTTAGATTTCAATTACTTGAAAGATCACTTGAATTGCCTTTTTTTTTATCTTGCCCTTTATCTGCTTAGCATTCCTTTTAAAAAGTGATTTGCTTTTCTAAAGAGCAAGGTAAATAAAATACAAGCAATTTTTGTGTGTGATACAGAATGAAAGAGATTGGAAAGAAAAGGTACAGAGTTGCAAAACCAAGTTAAATTCAGTTGGGAATAGAATTCCCAAAGTAGCAAAGGATAGTGTAAAATAAAATATTACTTTCACCCACTACTCCCCATCATTTCTATTTCCTTACTCAGTTTTAGTTTTCTTAGTATTCTTGTCTCTTCCTGACAGATATTTTTGTCTCCTATAGAGTAAGGATAGTAACTTTGTTCACTGCTGTGCCATGGGCACCTACAACAGTGCCTGGTAGGCAGTGGTTATGCAGGGCGTGTTAGTTACAGAATTTAGGCAGTTGAGAGCTTTGTTTCCAAATGAATTAATTTTTGTGGTGTTTCTTACCCCCAACCACAGTTGGAACAACAGAACCTTCACACATGAGTTTGACTTATAGAGAAGGTCCTAAAAGCTGTTCCTTTCAGGAGGTTATATTCTTTTGACTGAATCCATAATGACCTTTCTGGCAAGGTTTTTAGTGGCATATACTTTAATAACAGCATTCTACTTAATATGTGGAATGTGTGGATTCTGCAAAGGATAGCCATCAGTTTTTTTTTTACTCACCTGCATACATATCTTTATCTCTGTCCAATGTGGTGAACTGTTTACCATTATGCCACATCATAGAATCCCCTGCATTTCCCTGGTAAGTTCCCAAGCGCAGTCTATAGAATTCACTTTCAGGTTCCAGACGAAAGCTGCTATATTCTGCGTAGACTTTTTTATCACTCCAATCTTCTAACTCAATCAACAACTTATAATTGTCTTGATTGCTAAGCCTATAGATATTTTCCAGACCGAGCCAGTATTCTCCATCAATGTTTCCAAACCCTTTCTGTTAACAAAGAACATTGAGTGTATAAATAAGGGTAGAGATGATAAACTCTTTTATAGATAAGTTTTACACATCATATAGCATAAAGTGGTAATGTGAACTTCAATTTCCATAAGTCACCTGATCTTTAAAAACCCCACTTAGTCACTTTATTTGCTTTTTCTTAATTTATCAGTATTTATTTGTATAGCTAGCTTCAAACTCTAATCAGTGAACTACTCAGTTCCTTGGAAAGGGTTCCTGATCTCCCTCATACATACACAAAGAGCCAGATTTTTTTCCCCTTATAGTGTCTAGATACTGTCCCCAACATAATCAAGCAAAAAGACTATCTGGTATTGTGATCATTTAATAAACATAATAATATCTGTTCTAGAACAAATTTTCTTTAGTTCTAAGCAAAATTAGTAAATAAAATGAAATAGTAATCTTCAAAGTTATTATACCCATAATCCTTTACCATAATCCTTTGGTCCCTCTCCCACCTTTTCTAGGAGGTTGTGTTGCAGGATTTTTATTTCCTTAGTTACTTAAAAATTTACCAAACTTCTGGCATACATCTATATAGATATAAATATATATTAATGTCTCACTTTCACTGTCCAGTACAGTGTCAACTAAGGGAATAATCCCATGTTACCGCATAAATTTTGAATGAGTAATCATTTAGAAAATAAAATCTCGCCACCTAGCATTGTAAAATTGAAAATTTATACCATTTATAAAATTAGCATGATAAAATTTAGAATTATAAACAAAGACTAGTTGTTTCCCTTCTCAAAACTGGTATTCAATGATTCTGGTCCTGTGTGAAAATCTAGATGTACACTATTTCCCAACAGAACCAGTGTCTAGTGTCATCAACTTAAGACCTGGTAGCATAATTATCAGAGGTAATTAGCCCCCAAATGGGTCATTTTTTTTAATGTTGTTTAAATACACTTGATTGTGGGTACAAATGTGACCATAAAAAAATTTACCATCTTAGAAAATGAAATGAGCTAATTTTTGTAAAATATCAAATATATGTATAAATTATCCTGACCGAAAGGGGACATTTTAAGGTACCTTAAATTTTGACTTTAAAGCCAAAAATGAGAATCTTTTTGATAAAATGTAGATAATGAAAAACATATGGATAGTTTTTTTTAAACTGCCATATTACTTATTGCATAGAATGGCTACTCTTTCAAGAGTGTCTTTGTACCAACTACTGAACATCTGAATCACTGATTTACCTTATAATTTTCCCAGTTTCTGAAGAAGTTGACAGAGCCGTCTGTTCTCTTCTGAATAACAGTCCAACCCCCGGGATCCAAACTGTTCTCACACCATAACTGCATTGGTCCATTGCTGTTTTCAGGTTTAATCATATAAATTCCACTGACTGAATGTCCAGCGTCTTTTGCATGCTGACAGTCTTTGAATGGTCCTGTAATTAAGAGATCATTTATCATCAGGAAACTTAATATGAAAAATAACCATTCTAAAATAGTTTTTAACTGAGAATCTTTACCTTTTTTGTCTTTCTTACTGATGCTATTTTTTTCCTCAGATTTTATTGTCATTTGTTTATATGCCTGTATAAATTTAGGATACATTTTCTTTTTTTTTTTAAGATTTATTTTATTTATACAAGAATGGGGTTACAGGCCAGATGCATGGGAGGTTGAGAGGATTCACCAGAGACAGAGTGGGGAACAGAACAGGCAGACTGAATAAATACACTGCTGAGGGAAGCAGGCGAGACAGGAGAGGTCTGCTCGCCATGTGGGTTGCTCCAAGGCCAGCGGGCAAGCAAACCAGCACTGCAGAGGCTGCAGACAGCTTCACAGCGCAGCGCTCAACCACCTGCGACACCAGGGAGGCCCCTAGGATACATTTTATACTTTATGTGCATGTGTCACTTGTCCTCCCCACTACCACTTTTTATTTATTGTATATGCAATGCTGTAAAAGAGAAAGTAAAAGTTACCCTAGTCCTATTCTCTTGAACATTAAATTGTTTCATTTTCACTGTTCTTGCAAGCCTTTGCCCATATACATACATTTTTATATTGTTAAATAGAACATTGGAATCTGTCTTTTCATTTTAGCAAATATTTGCATGAGACTAGTCTCAATTCTAGCAGTCTTTGATATTGATGTATCTTTGAATGGTATCTTCCTCCATCACTGGGCATTGAGGCTACATCTGATTTTTGTTGTAAATGCTGCACAAAGTGTCTTCATTTTTATTGACTTTGTTTTTTTTTCCTATTTACTTACAAGAATGCCAAGGGATTGGTCTGTTGGATCAAGGGTTATGAACACTTCTACAGCTCTTTCTGCAGCCCATTTACAGTTTATGCAATTTGATTCCAGTAGAACACACTAATCTCTGAGATGCTTAGTGAAAGATAGGTATCATGGTCAAATAAGTTTTAGAATTGCTAAATACTAAGTTTCCTTTTTCAAAACTCAGTCTATTTCATATACTAAAGATTGAGAAGCACTGAAATAGTTTAACAAACTTATAGAATCTTTTATTAACAGGACTCATTAAGAATATAGTTTAGGAATGTTGGCAAAATGCCTTTCTGAAGAGTTGTGTCAGTGTATATGACTAATAATATCTTCTTACTTTACACAAAGACCCTGTGATCATTTACAGATGTTATAGATGAAAGTTAACTAGTCTAAGATCATGCACTGCAGAAGGTAATAATCCCTACATTTAAACCCATTTGTTTCTAATCCCCGAGTCCATGCCATCAACTACTATGTTGCATTTACGCCCCATGTTATTTCATAGTTTTATGAATTCTCTCCACACTTTTGGATCTAAAGATAATTTATAGTTTTACTGAACATTCTTTGACACTTCTCTAGTGTTTGACCCTTTGTTTTCAATAAGCATGAATAAATTTTAAGTGATTCAGAAATATTACCCTGAGGATCTGAAATTTCTCAATTCTGACCCATAAAATTTTTAGAAAGTATGTGATAATAGAGTTTAGTGACATAAAGCTCATATGAAAAATCTGTACCATGATGATCATAGTATTCTTGAAATTTTAAGAAGTGTGTTATCTTTACTGTGCCAAGTATATTTAAGGTCCCTTTTTGGCCTTTTTAGAGTAGAATTAATCTGATGAAATAGTTACACAACTGTATCACTAGAAAAAGCTCTTAAAGATTATGAAGTCCTCTTTCTAGATTGCTACATGAAGATCAAACAATTTTTAGTTTTTTTCTGACTTCATGTATCAGTGTCTTTTAAGTATCATGTAGGCTGTTAATAATTTTGTTTAGTAAATTAACTTGCCTTCTCAAATTGAAATTGAAAATCACAAGTAAAAATCAAGAGATTATCAATTTTTCTAGTTCAGATTTCTGTTTGATATCTATTTCAGATTTTTTAATTGTACTATTGATATAATAACCATAAGCACCGTATATACTGCTTGTTAAAAATTTGAGACTGAAATTTAAGAAACTAGAAAGACTTAATGCTCTTTTTCTTGGATTATAGTTACTTTAGGTATTGGATTTTTTAGTTCTTAGAGACTTAATTTGATTCCTTTTTATAGTTTTAATTTTTCTTCCAAGATTTCCTCTTACATTCTCTGTGAACACATTTTCCTTTAAGCTGTAATAATGACTTTAAAATCCTTGTTCCTTCTTTTTCTAATTAACAGAATTTTATCATAAGTGGATTTTGAGTTTTGTCATAAGCTAAAACTACTGAGATGATAAGGTTTTTCTTCTTTTATTTGTTCATATGGTGAATGCTATTGACTGTATTTTTTATGTTAAACTAATGCATTCCTGGGCTAACCTCAAATTGGTCATGAGGTACTATAATTTTTACATATTGCTGGGTTTTATGTGCTAAAATTTTGTTACCAATTTATTTTATAGTCACAAGGCTATTGGTTAATCTGTCCAAACTCATAAGTAGGTTCTTGAACTCAGGACAACTACAATAAAAATAATGTTTTGAACTTATCGGACTGGCAATAAGCTAGAGCACATTTCATTTAAATTCACTGTGAACTATATGATCAACTTTCTCAGTTACTGACACAATATTTAACAAAGTGGTCTTTGGTAACTTAACGTTTCCTTTTCTCCTTTGTTTCTGATCTTGAATCATAAATAAATCGTAACCTAATAATTTTAAGTAACTTATTTTATAAATATATACTTATTAATAAATTTAATATGGCTAATCAAAGTTGAGTAAATGTAGCCATTTCTATGGTAGAAAAATAATATAGTCCAGAAAATCCTCAAATTGTGCAAAATCATTCCCTAAAAATAACAACTGATATTACCTGGCAGCATACTTTAATTGCAATTACTTGTTGCACAAAACATAAATATGCTTAGAAAAAAAATTCCATGTGAACCAATATGACCTTTTTGTTTTACTTACATTCTCCCTTTTTTATAAGTCACAAATGGGCTTCATATTACAGAAAATTGCATTATGGTCAAGTCAGAAAAGGGTGGAAAGGCTTTATTTCATAGAGGATGAAATTTATAGAATTTAAATTTCATGTGGGGAAAGAGGTGCAAGGAAAAGTGAAGCATGATATCCGGGTTCACTCTTAGATTATTTTGTGAAATTCATAGTATAATATTCATTTACTTACTGAGAGCCTCTCTGTAGGCAAGGATTATAACCTTTGGTTTCATATCCACAATTTAAACCCACTTAGGCGCTCAAATATTCGTTGAACTAAGTGATTCCCAGTAGCCACAGAGGTTAACAGAATTTCCTTAGTTCTGCCTTATTTTTCAAGAACTGTCTTTTCTGAATATATCCATCAACCAGAAACTATGTTAGGCTCAAGGGATAGAGAAACAACTTTAGAGGAAAGAAGGAAGTAGGGGAAGTGGCAAATAAAAGATAACTCCACTTCAGCGTGATGTACTTGGATGAAGTTAAACTGGGCACATTGAAAACAGTGAGTAAAAAGTAGTTAACCAGGATTTACAGTGAACCAATCAAAGTCTACCTATATCTGAGCTGAGTTTTGAAGATTGAGTTGAGGGGGGAGTATGACCCAGACCATGTAAGAGTAGTGAGTACCATGGCATGCAGTAGAAGAGAGCTTGGTGTTACAATTACACATTTAGAGTGTCTGAAATTTAAATGACTAGGGTGGTAGAGCTGAAACTGATTTCTTCACTTGAAAAATGCAGTCATTATGGCTATTTCCAAAGTTAGCCATATATTTTTTTCTATGTTGTCATTTTCAGAATAACCAAAGATATCTGAGGAATGTTGATCTTGTTTTAAACCTGTTAGTCTTGGTGTATTAACTAATGTATTAAAGTACCATGAAGTGGTTTTGTTGTTTATATACATTTCTCTCATTTCAGAAATGTGTTTATGTATATCATCTTTGTATTGTTTATTCTATGTATGTCATCTTGGTAAATGTTTGCTCCACACTTATGTGAGTATGGCTTTGATAGTTTACATTTTATATTTAAGTATATATTACAAGTTTGACTTTCACTAGGTTATTTGAATTGCTGTAAAATATTTCAAAACATCAAGGTTATTGAATGTTGACGGAATATTTGTAAAATACCATTTGTTCCTTATCATTAATAGGCTCTTGGATGTTAGCAAATTGGGAGTTCAAATTCAACTTTGATTTGATAAGACTTCAATTTATGTGAATTTAAAATTATCTTAGACTTTAATTTTCAACCCAGTTTTTCTTTTGGTGGGCCCATGTTTGTAGTTTGAATGCCTGTTGGACTCAGCTGATAAAGACTTAGTTGATAAAAATTTAGTTGAAATTCTTTTCCAGAATATGAGGGTAAAATGAGAAGTGTTTCAATTACTTTTTCCTCCTCAACAAAGGTAGTAACTATCAGAATTTAGTATTTACTTTATAAATAAACAAACCTTTAACTTGTCTTAGCCTATTAAATGTTGTTGATCTTGGTAGAAATATTTTCTCATTATTACTTGCATCTCTTACTATCTGTTCTAGAATTAGATTACAAATTGTTCATATATTAAATATTTAACTACTTTCTGTGTACCATTAAAAACGCCTTAATGAATTTTTAAATGAATTTTTTTTAAATGAATAGTTGAAAATTACCAACTTTATTTTTGAGAAGTCAGATTTAACTTGCTGGTTTGTATATTACAAGAGATAAATGAATTGGCATATGAATCAGGAATTTGTTTATATGGTTCATAGGTATAGACTGGAAAGTACCTTTCTTTTAAAATAGGAATTTTATTGACCCTTTTATTGTATTGAGTAGTTTTGAAATAGTCTTCTTTCATAGCAGAAATTGGATTCGTCTAGTTCTTCAATAGGCTGGAAACTGGAATTCTCTTATATTGAATTTGAAGGGCCCATCTCTCATTCAGTTTTGATGTCTAAAGTTTTTATAGAGCTAGCAAACTTGACT